AAGCAGACAGTTTGATAGAATGAGGAAGGACCCTAAAATTTCAGCCAATTTGGACTTACAAGTGATTTGTAATGATAGTTTTTATATCAAAAGAGCATTAGGATTAGAAAAGTAACTTGAGGAAAAAGGGAGACTTAATTGTGCGCTCCTATTCCTTAAACAGTATTTCTTATGTTTATACTTGTATTTATGATTAAACAAATTTAAACAGATTTTCTGTAGGACTTATCAGTGTCTATAAAATGGCAATATTAATCTATTATCTCATGGAACTCTGTCCCATGGAACACAGTTTGGGAAAGGTTGATTTAACTCAATGTTAAAAAGGTATAACCCAACATAAAAAACTAATGATGTAGGGGCGCCTGGGTGGCTCAGTTGGTTAAGCGACTGCCTTCGGCTCAGCTCATGGTCCTGGAGTCCTGGGATCAAGTCCCACGTCAGGCTCCTTGCTCAGCGGAGGGTCTGCTTCTCCCTCTGACCCTCTTCCCTCTCGTTTTCTCTATCTCTCATTCTCTCTCGCTCGAATAAATAAATAAAATCTTAAAAAAAAGAAAACATTAAAAAAAAGATTTAAAAAAAATGAATGATGTAATGTATGGTGATTAACATAACATAAAAAAAAGGCATAACCCAATTCAAACATTGTATTGAATAAAAATAGTGAAAGGGAGAAATGTATTCCACAATGTCAACAGTGAATGACTGCTTGAATTATTCCTCTTATTCTTTTCTTTCCTTTTTTTTTTTTTAGCTCTTATTACTCTTTTATGTTTCCATATTCACTTTAGTGACCCTTTACAAAGAACATGAACTTAAAGAAAAGAGTGGTATAATTTAGGAGACCGATGTTGAAGTCAGGAGTTTTAAAAGCTGTGTGACATTGAACCCAGTTCCTTAACCTCACCAGGTCTGTTTTCTCATCTATAAAATTGGAAAATGATATCTACCTAATGGGTTTGCTATGAATATTAATTGAATTATGATATCCAAATCACTCAGCACAATGTCTGGCACATGCTGTAGGATCTAGAGATGAGGTAATTACCATTATTATTGAGTTCCTAGAATTTTAAAGTTTAAGAAAGGAGTGCTGGCTGGGTTAAGGGCGCTTAGTCTACTCAGTGTGATATCAGGGAGGCCCAAAAATACCATTATCAGAGCTTGTACCTTCCTCCTGAAGCAAAGAATTGCAGAAGCTGCTCCACAGTGTAGGACAGGATTCCATTGCATACTTGCCAGGGAAGATTATGAATTCCCAACAGAAAACTTTGGTCTCATGGTGAGCAGTCTATTAACACTGTATATTTAAAACAAACACCTTCCTGATTGCTTAGAACTAAATTTAATCATTGTACCAGAAAAGACATGCAACATCTTCCTCCTTCTAAAATTCTCAAGATGCTCTGCTGAATCTAAGCAAGTTGTGCTGCAACCATGATGCCTTGAACATGAAATATTCTGGCAACTTCATTGCTTCACAATTGTGATTCTTGGAAACTTGTCACTTTAGATTCTTCAGAATTCTTAAATAACTTTTTCTGACTTCATTTACTTAAATATCCCAGAATAGCCTCTTGAGCTATAAGTTTGATGATCCAGGAAACTATTTATAGCAGGATGAGTACTCTCTGTGACTGATGTTATGTTTTATTTTGAGAAGGACAAATCATTAAAAAGATTGATAGGGCCAATGGTATTTTAAACTGAAAGCAGAGCCAAGGCAAATAAGGTAGGTAGGTATGATGGTGGAACACAAAAAGATAGGGTTGTACTTTTTTGCCAGTTCAGTTAAAGGCTGGGGAGGTCTCCCACATTCTAGAAGGTAGGCAGAGACAGAGTCCATAACCCAGACCCAGTGATATTTTATTTTTAAAGATTATTTACCTATTTGAGCAGGAGAAAGAGAGCACAAGTGAGGGGAGGGGCAGAGGGAGAGGCAGAGTGACAGGCTGACTTGCTGCTGAGCAGGGAGCCTGATGTGGGGCTCTGTCCCATGACCCTGAGGTCATGACCTGAGCTGAAGTCAGACTCTTAACCGACTGAGCCACCCAGGTGCCCCCAGACCTAGTGATATTTTAGGTAAAGACACTTCAGCCTATGGCAGCCTGGCCTCTGTTTGCCTAGTGTTTATAATGCAGAGCAGACAAACCAAGACTCTCTGTCATCACAAAGGCCAATACTGTTCTTGGTGTCATTGATATCCTCCTAGGTAAGAAACAAATATAAGACAGAAGAAGGTCAAGGTCAATCTTTTTTTTTAAAGATTTTATTTATTTATTTGAGAGATAGAGAATGAGAGATAGAGAGCACGAGAGGGAAGAGGGTCAGAGGGAGAAGCAGACTCCCCGCCGAGCAGGGAGCCCGATGCGGGACTCGATCCCGGGACTCCAGGATCATGACCTGAGCCGAAGGCAGTCGCCCAACCAACTGAGCCACCCAGGCGCCCTTTTTTTACTTTTTTATTGTGGTAAAATACACATAACATAAAATTTATTATTTTAACCATCTTAAAAGTATACAAATCAGTGGCATTAAGTACATTTGTACTCTTGTGTGATCACCAGTACTATCCATCTCCAGAAGTTTTTCATCATCCTAAACTTAAACTTTGTGCCCTTTAAAGATTTTATTTATTTGACCGAGAGAGACACAGCGAGAGAGGGAACACAAGCAGGGGGAGTGGGAGAGGGAGAAGCAGGCTTCCGTGGAGCAGGGAGCCCGATGCGGGGGCTCAATCCCAGGACCCTGGGACCATGACCTGAGCTGAAGGCAGACACTTAACGACTGAGCCACCCAGGCGCCCCACTTTGTGCCCTTTAAACAGTAACTCTTCATTCCCCTTCTCCCAAGCCATTGCTAACCACTATTTTATTTTCCGTCTCTATGAATTTGCCTATTCTGATTTCTGTGTCTCTCCCAGTTGGATGGGGGTGACCAAATGTGGGGCAACCCTATTGGGTGGAGGCCGGTGGTGAAAGAATTCACCCAAGGCATAACAAGGGAGATAGAAATTTATTGAAAACACACGATGAAATGTGGGCAGGACAGCAAAACAGAGACTGCCCCAAGGCAGTTCTTGGGGGGGGGGTTGTAGTTAAAGAGGGAACGTGAGAGAGTACAGGAACACATGGAATTTTCCTTTTTTGGTACCTGTGTCTGGGTGTAAGTAACCCATTGGTCAGCTAGGGCTTAAGGCTATTTTGAGGTGGGTCACCTAATGGGCCTGTTTGTATCAGCCAGAGGTTTGGGGGTCACTGCAGGCCCTTCTAACTTATTCAGGTTTACATAGTTCAAGTTGGTTGCTAAAAGTGTCCTCTAAAGTTTCCTCATATAAATTGAATCATACAAAATATGTCCTTTCCTGTCTGACTTCTTTCATCCATGTTGTAACGTGTTAAGAGTTTTGTTCCTTCTTAAGGCTGAATAATATTCCATTGCATGTATATACCATATACCATGTTAAAAATCCATTCATGCATCACTGATTATTTGGGTTGTTTTCACCTTTTGGCTATTGTCAATAATGCTGTGAACAGGGTTGTAGCGTATCTGTTCATCCCTGTTCTCTTTGTTCAAAGGCCTTTTCTTGCTGCCTCCACTCCTATTACCTACCTCCCTCAACGTCCTACCCTAGGTAGCCCTCAGTACTTGCTTTTGAAGACAAAGTACGTTTGGTTTAGCCAAAATGTAACAACTGTGTGGTAATTTGCAAGTGTAAAGGCAAACACTCTGGCCTTTGGGCATTGCTCCAGGAGACTGAGGTATGTGTGTGTGTGTGTGGGCGGCGGGGAATGCAGATTTGAGAAAATGCACTTTCTTCTTAGCTCATTCATTAAATGATCCAATTGTTCTAGCCTTGAGATAGAGATCTTTAACTCAGTCTACGTTCCAGCAATACAGAAGCTCTCAGCAACTCAGACTAGCTCTCTATCGCTTTTTTTTTTGTTGTTGTTGTTCACAACCTGAAAGCAGGTTTTGCTTTCTGGAAAGCCCTCCTCATCTCCCCCATTTTGTGCGTAAACTGGAATTCCCTTTGCTTTTTTAGCTATCCTCGTGATCGGTGGGATTCAGGTGTGGGGAGGGTTGAAGCTTATACACTTATACCCTTAAAAAAATAAAGTCACAAAATAAATATGTAGGACAAAAAAACATCACAAAAATTACTGGAGACTTGGGAGATCCAGATCCCCCCACTGAGACCATTTCAATTTATCAGAAATTCTTATTATATAGAGATGCTTTCCGATGGCAAGCTAGCTTCCTGCTTGCTCCTGGAACACTCCGGAAGTGAGGGGCCCTAAAGTTTAAGGTTCAATAGCCTCGAGTAAGCCTGTCACTTACTGGCCGGTCTGAAGCGACCTAGGTAGCGTGTCATCCATCTGTCTCTTGCGTTCAGCTCAGGACAGGTGCTTAGAAACGTGTTGGGGATTTCAAGGTTTAAGTCATGTTGGCCCCTCCGTCGGCTCTAAGGACGCGAGCGGCTTAGAGAACGGCGAGGCAAGGCTGAGGGAAAAAAAAAACACGGCAGTGGGACTGAGGATTCCTGCCCTCAGCCGGAGAGGGCGCTGTCTTGGACTTCGAGAGAGCCCCTACCTAAGGCCCTCCTCAGGGCCACATTCCAAGGGCGGCCTTGTCCTCTACCCGCGGACCTACCCTAGGGACCAGAGGGGAGGGCTCTCAGGACTTCGAAGATTAACACAAAGTTGGCGCGAGAGGGCCCATCACCGGAAGTTTCTTTGATAAAGAAAACCGGCGGAAGTAGGCCAACGGCGCCTCTTCAGTATATTGCCTCCAGCCGGCTCTCCTACTTTCTTCTGGAAAGGGAGGGGCCCCATTGCTTTTTGCCGCCGTGGGGAGTCGCTGCGGCAGGTTCTGTGCGCAGGCTCAATTGGCCTCCCAAACATCTTTCAGCCGCTGGGTCCCTTCCGAGGTTTTCTTGCCTGGACGTGACGTACTCTTGTCGTAATTGGGGGCGGAACCTCAGAGGGAAAAGCGTCTGAGCCGGGGTCTCGCGAGAACATTCCTTTCCTTCGCAGTTCTCGCGTTACAGCTTTACTCTCGTCGCGACGAGATCTTTCGAGATCTCCTCCGCCCCCGCTACCGGCGCCCCATCTGCGGCCGCTGAGCCGGAGCCGGCCTGAGCAGCGCTCTCAGCTGCCGCTCCCTTCCCACGGACTTCCCGCTAGGACTCCCTCACGTCCCCTGCTAGCCCCGGCCCCCCGGTCCACGCGGCCCGCACTCCGCGCGCCAGCCCCGCCGGGGTCCGTGTCCTGTTTCGCCGGCTGGACCTGGGCTCGAGCCCGAACTGTAGCCGGCGCCATGTCGGTGGTGGGCATAGACCTGGGCTTCCAGAGCTGCTACGTCGCTGTGGCCCGCGCCGGCGGCATCGAGACGATCGCTAATGAGTACAGCGACCGCTGCACGCCGTGAGTGTGGGCCAGTCCGGCCGCGTGCACGGGGGGGTGGGGAGGTAGCGCTCGTTCTGGTCTGCGACCCTCGCGGCTTGGGGAACGCGAACCGGGGAGTCACCTCGGTTGCGAACCGAGGGTCCGGTGTGTAAGGAACCCCCGCTGGGTGTCAGGTCACTAGTGGTCGCGACTCGCCGAAAGGGTCTGCGCCAGCGGCGAGGCCTTTTCCCAGTGGCCTGCCGGTAGAGTGAAGGCTCTGAGCTGGTACTCGTATCAGCGGAGGGCATGGGTAGGCGCTGGAGGGAAGGCAGGCCTGCGATGTATAGTGGACCGAGTTCTTTTAGAGGGCAGAGTCCAGGCCCAGGGCATACTGCCGTTTCTTCAGCCTACCACGGAGTTCGGAGCTTTGCACACAGTAGGCGCCTAGTAAAAGTTAGCTGAATTAAATGGGTCCTGGCGTTTGCCGGCGGTCTGAAGATGGAGCGGCCAGGATCCCACGTGAGTGGGGGCGGGGCAGCACCCGGAAGAGAGGGAGCCGGAGCACCAGAGGCCCGGGCTCCGCATGGAAGGCACAGCTACGGTAAAAGTACTTAGGAAAGTCAACGTCTTGATACGTTTGCGTTCACGTTGGTTTTTCACATTTTTCCAGTATGTTGAACTATGTTGGGTCATTCTCTCCTTTCATTCTCTGCGCGTCTACACCAAACAGCGTTCCACTTTCACAGTTAATACATTCCAACCAGGGTGTTGGCCGCAATTGTTAATGAATGACTCAGGGGCTCACTTTGACTTCTAGAACCTATAGTAAGTTAAGGGACCAGTATAGACACAGCTCTAAAAAAATCATGACTCACTCAGGTCTTTCCTTGGGTAGAGAGTCCTCCTTTTTACTATAGAGTTACTTTTCATCCATTATCCTCTTTTGGGGCAAAATCTTTTAAGAAGCTTCTTATTTTCTAGGTTCTCATTATTTGCCACGTGGCTCTTAAAGGGCTTCTGTTCCAAGGTCCATTTTTCCCCCTAACTTTGGTCACCCTTCTCGCAGTTGGGTAGCCAAACGAGATTGCTCCCTCCAGTGATCTTTGCTGCCCAGAGACTCAAAACATTTCCCTTCCACTTGTAAAATTCCTGCCCCTTGTTTTAGACCTAGACCAGGCGCTTCCCTGAAAATCCATCTCAGATCCTAAAACGTGGTTTGATGTCCCTTTCTCAATTAGGTTGTAGTTTGACTGAGAGAGAATTCACAGAATGTACAGTTAACCCATTTAAAGCGTACAGTTTGATCTTATTGTAGTCACAAAACTGCAACTATGCCCCACAATCAATTTAAAAACATTTTCCTCAGTCCAAAAGAAATCTGTACTCAGCTGTCACACCCAGTCCCCCCTATATTTATAGTTTTTAATAGTGGGTTTTATGTTCTAATTTGTAGTTCCAGAGAAGGTACTGTATACTGAGCTTTTTTTTTTTTTTAATCATTGAAGTTTGATTTTGAGTATTTAAGCATTAATTTTCCCTTTGATATCGTCTTCCTCTCCAGATTCAAGTTTTCTTCATTTGTAAAGATAGTCTTTCCCAAGAAATCAAAAAGGGTGGTGCACTGAGTCAGGCATTTAACTTTTTGGTCCTTTCTTGCCTAGATTTGAACATAATTTCCATCCAAAGGGAAGAGAATTCCCAATATTGCAACTAATGGTGTTCCTGTCTTGTCTTTGACTGTTCCATTTTTTTTTAGACAACAGTTTTACCATGAATTCCATAAAAGTTTAATCTTTTCAAATTTGAATTAAATTTGCCTCAATGACTAGGTGATGGGTGACCAGATACATTACATAATTGTGATAAGACAGTGTACTATTTAAATACTTTAAGGGATTTTATGTTTTCCCCATGTTTTATATTTTCCAGGAACTTCTAGGGATACCATACATTGAAGTAATTTTTGAACTATGATTTTGATTAGCTTAAATTTCTTTCTTGGAGCTCTTAAGTAGGATATGGGAATGGAAAAGTTCGTTTTTGTAGTAGTTACGGAATAGTGGATTTTTGTTTCAGGTACACAGAGACTATGATGGGGGTTTGCTTTAGTGTCACAGTGCAAATGAGACTTAGTTTCTGGAGGGTTGGCTGTGATGGAAGTACCTCATTTCAAATTGTGGCTGTAACAGTATTTGAATTCAGTTTTTGAGGATCCGGTTGACTTTTGTCCAGAAGAGACTCTTACTTTTCACCAAATACAGACTTGCTTTATTTTAGCAACTACTGAGTGCCTCCAATATGCCAGCCATTATGCTAAGCATTGGAGGTACTCTGAACAAATAAGATCCTGCCATCATGGAATGGGTAGTGGAAAAAAGCCAGATGCTAAACATATAATTACTACCTGGTTAAGGTCCAGATGGGATAGGACAGAATACGATGACCGGGGAGCTAATTTAAATTGGATGTACGATGGAGATGAAAGGTGCTCTTAAAGAAGTGCCATTTAAGTTGAGACCTGGAGGATGAGTAGAAATTTACATGGAGGTGGTGGGTGGGTCTAAGGAAGAGCTGATTAAGGCAGAAGGAACAGCAAGTGAGGAAGACTGAGGCATTCAGAAAAGCTTGGCAGACTTGGCTGCCTGAGAAGATCATAGTTTTAAAAAAATGATTTATCTTTTTTCGTGGAGAATGGATTTATCTGAGAAGGGGAAGAGAAGAGGCAGGGTGTTACTTAGGTTATGGCAGTATTTAGTCCGTGTGGGAGTTGATGATGTTCTCTACTAGTGTAGTAGCATGGGAGGGAAGTGTGGGTGGCTTTGAGATAAACTTTGGAGGTTTAATTTAGGAGCATCCATGTTGATGAATTTGATCATAGGCTTTGGAATAAGATGAGAAACCTATTTTTAGTGGGATTATTACAGTAGAAAGGGTACAACCTTAAAAGCTTTGGAATGAAAATGTTAATGGAGTGCCAAACATTACTGAAGAATTGGGCCGTACTTTCCAAAAAGAATTTATAGGGTAGAAATGAATTACTTAACTTCTGTGTGTGAATTGCTTATATTACTATTTTCATGGACTTAGTTCCTAATAAAACAGTATATTAGGAATTTGAAGAGATGAAATTGTCTGTTATTAGCTGCCCTTGAGAGAGTGAAAGCTGAAAGTACATACTTTTTGGTTAACTGGAAGATTAACATCTGATACCTAACTTGTGCAAGAAGAGTATTCTTATGAAATAAATGTTTCTACGTGTTGTGTAGAGCTAAGTACAACAGTAGGATCTTGAGTCTTTTGGATTCAAAGAAAAGGAAAGTTGATTTGTTAAGTAAAGTTCAAATTGCTTACACCATTTTCCTTCCTATGTCTAATTGTAGAAGTTATGAAAGTAGTTCTTAGAATCATTTAAGAGCTAAAGTACAATCTTGTATACAAAATTTGTGGACTTATTGACAGGAACTTTGTCATTAGGTTCTCAATTGGGTTTTCTAAATTAAAACATTTTTTTCTTGACTTCAGATATTTGTTGTAACAATAAAAACACTAAAGTGCTGAGGTTTCTTGTCCTTCTCATTATTTGCTGTTTGCTGTGTATGCTTGTGTACCTTTTTCCAGACTTCTACAAACATACATTGTTGGGGGTGGGTATGTTTAAACAAATAGGATCATACTATATTTTGTAAATTTTCTTTCACATATACTTTAGACTTCTTTCAGAGTCAGTAAATAATGAACCTACCTTCTTAAATGTGTAATATTCTTTATTATGGCTGAAACATTTTTTTTTCCAAACAGGTTATTTCTAACTTTTGTAATTACAAATAGTTAATTGAACAGTAGTCTTTTACGTTTGGATTTACTTGTTAATATTTTTATTTCTGTTGGACAGAGTTCCAGACGTGAATTTGCTAGGGCAAAGAATATACAGTTGACCCTGTATATCAATGTGGGGGTTAGGGCACTCACTGCAGTTGAAAACCTGTGTATAAAAACTTTTGAGACTCCAAAAAACTCAACCACTAGTAGCCTACTGTTGACCAGAAGCTTTACTTATAATGTGAATGGCCAATTGACACATACTCTGTATATGTATTCCATACTGTATTCTTAAAGTAAGCTAGAGAAAAAATGTTATTAAAATCATAAGAGGAAATACATTTATACTACTGTTTTGTATTGAAAAATCCATGCATAAGTGGACCCACACATCTTGAACCTGTATTGTTCAAGGGTCAACTCTATGTTCTTAAAGTATTGCTGCCAGGATACTTTATACAAATTTAAGGGGTTAATTTATAACAGGAAGATAAGTGATTCACTGGGCATTGTGAAGATTATAATGGGCTGGAACTACATAAAGTGTTTAAGATAAAGCCAGACACAGTAGATATTGCCCAAGGATTTTCTAGTATTGCTGTTGCTACCTAAAAAATACAAATTTTTTAAATTAATCCTCCTCATTAATGGATTGTATGTTGGGATAATAAAATAAAATTTTTGAACTTTGAAGGGTTCATAATTTATAGCTTTTAATATGCAAATCTTACTGATTGGAGAATTTGCTGTGCTTTAGGAACTGTGTATCATTAAGTGTGAGTTGTTCGATCTGTTTGATGTCAGTTTTTTGGGGTACTTTCTAGTTCAGGGCTAAGGCAGTAAGCAGAGGATACTCTGACTAATGTAATCTTTTCCATGCCAGTTTTGCTTAAATCTTTTATTTGATAGTCTCAATATTATTGTGGGTTCTCTGATAAACTCGTTTTCTTATATAGGTTAAGAAAGAGAATTAGAGCAGCAGCTGTTATAAATATCCCCAGAGCAGTTGTACACATTCTTATAAACATGAAACTGTGCCTTTTAAGGATCTGTGTTCATTGCAGCTGTTCAGAACATCCCATTAGAATGTGCATAAATATTTGGTCAGTAGTATCTCTTACCCATGAAAGGGAGAACTGTTATTCTCTGGCCTAAAAAGATGATTATTTCTAGGGCTTAACGATTAGAACAGGGGAGTCTTGAACTTAATTTGAATTAAT